TTTTCTTTCCATTAAAATTTCCAGAACGCACATGCAAGATTTAAAAGATGTGACAGACGATACACATTATGAAAACTATCGATGTGAAAAATTGGCTTCCATGTCCTTGGGTTCGCCGTCAGCCAATCCATCAAAGTGAGTTATACGTCTATTAATAAAATAAGATAAGATAAGATAATAAATTATTAATTCCATATAAAGTATGGGCATACTCAGTTTTCTCCTCTAGTTTTCGATTTACTGGAGCATTAGGTACAGTAACTGTAATTATCTGATGGCTAAAAAGACTTGTTTAAAGTGCTACTCTGACGAAAATCGCTCAAACTTGGATTCAGCTGAAACTTCCTAAGAATACTCTCTAAAGGTCCTATAATCACTGTATGAAGTGTTTTCTCRATATTCAGGACGAAAGTATGATATTTTTACAATTATTTTTGGAGTCTGTGACGTCATACACTCAACATCGAACATTGCTCCATACATTTCTTTGTAGTTTATGATCAAAATATCAGCAGTAAAGGGAGAAAGAAATACCCAAACACTCCAAAATATAAATTATAGTCACAAGTAATGTGAAATAAGCACATTAGCCATATTCAGGACGAAAGTATGATATTTTTACGATTATTTTTGGAGTCTGTGACGTCATACACTCATCGCACTAATTTAAAGAACATACTGAACACTAGACAGAAGTGTCAAATACAAAATTCAAAAAACAGGGTTCCAAATAGCAGCCTGCCAATGGCCAAATAACAGGAAAAATTTCAGGTTTGGCGGGTGGAAAAAACAGTGCACTGCCAAATGAATAATAAAATAGCATACAAAATCTACTGGAATGTCCTCCTTTTACCATGCTCCTAAAAATACTATGGCAGGCTACAATTTTTTTCTATTTCAAGCCCTGCTAAAACCAGGGCTTGAAATAACAGGCAGTCAGTTGCCAGTCATACGTACCTTGTTTCAAAATGACAAGCAAAGCAAAGATGAGACTGGAGAAGTTCCAATTCTGGTTAGACATAGTCTGATAACTGGCCWTTACTTTATTCCCTAAAGTTTAGCGCAGATCTCAGTACAACAACAACAACAACTTTATTTGTACCACTCTGTTATAGGATTTACAGCATTTGTTTTTTATATGTACAATATAGATAGTTTATAAATAAATCTAAATAGTATAAAAAACACAGTTATTTATAGTATATATACCGAGGCAGATAAATGAAAAGATGATACAGGTTGTCTGTAATAACCACAAGGCTAAGTAAAAACAGACAGCCCATTGTACCCATTGTCCTTAGTGAAATTTGAATATCCAAAGAAATATTCAAACCACCATCAGTAGTAATTATTTCGTAGAAAATGAACTTTCTTTTTTGTCTGTGTCTGTGTAGTGCATCCTTTTCTAGAAGTCCACTAGAACAGCTTGAAATGGAAAGGGAAGAACACGAAAAGAAACTCAAGAAAATGGAACAAGAAATGGAACAAGTGTTTGAAATTAAAGTTAAAGAAAAGAAAAAGAAACTAAAAGACTCTGAAGAAGAGGTAAGGATAAGGAAAATTATCCCTCTCTCCAGTGAACATATTCCTGTTAATTTACTGAATTTAGTTCTGTGCCACGGAGATGAGTGGATTTTGGACCTCGTTAGTTCTGGCGACACCATGAGTTGCATAAGGGCTCGATTTAAAGATTCTGCAGGGTTCCCAGGGGTCAGGGAAAAGTCAGTGAATTCTTTATTTAGTCAAAGAAATTGCGATTTTCACCTAAGTCACGGAAAAATCAGGGAATTCTTTATTTAGTTAGAGAAATTGCGATTTTCACCTAAGGTCAGGGAAAAGTCAGGGAATTTTGTTTAAAGTTAACCATGAGTATCCGTGTGATACTCATACTGTTTGCAATTTTCAAATAGACTGATAAATCTTTTCAGATAATGAAACAAACATTGAATTATTCAGTATCATTTATGCCGGACAATTTAACTACGTTGGGTATCCTGTGTAATAGGATAAGAGCGGAGCCTATGTAAAAGTTAGGCGTGGCCCATGCTTGCCCATGCGGCCATATTGGAAAACCTCAAGTTATTTGCAGATTAAAAAATTTAAATTGTTGGAAACACAAATTTTGATTTGCTCAACAAGGTCAGTGAAAGCTGTTATTTGGTCAGGGAAAAGTCAGGGAATTTGTATTTCCAAAATGGCTGGGAACCCTGTTTCTGGTAGCTATGGTAAAAATGCCACAATACAGATGTCCTATGGGTGTTAATTAACTGAGCAAATAAAGTAATAATATTAAGTAATAATTATCTAACTTCAAGTAAATGAACCAAAACTATCCTTTCTATCAAGTTGGGTAGAAAACATGAACAAATGAGAAAACAACTGGATGCACAACTAAAAGACCTGGACGAGAAGAGAAAGAAGTTCGAAAAAGAAAAACAAGAGTTTGAAGAAAAAAGCGAAAATAAGAAAGTATTAGAAAGATCAGATTCATCTAGCAAGTCTCTCAAGTAAGTGTCTTTGTATACTGTTGTTAGCAATGAATGTTTTTTTTTTTATTGATGTTGCATGAGTTTGTCAAGCGTGGCATGGCAATAGCTATTATAACTGTTACATTTTACTTCGATAACTGCTCCTAACTTACATCTCTGAACGACTTTGCTGGCTAATAATTAAATTGTAAGAGAGCCAATTCATCATACAGTTAAATTCACAGAATTGATACGAGGTAAATGATTTAGTATTTTCAGAGTCAGTGGTTCTTGGTTGAAACGGTAGATTTTTGGCAGCTTAAAAATACCTTTTCAGTAGCTTGCCAGGAGGGTTTGAGAGTCATGCACAAAACAAAATTTTCTGTTGAATAGATTGTTAGCAGGTCATCGCTAAGTTGATAGAACACATAAGCAGTTAGAAGTAGGTTGTTGGTAGGTCGTTAGTAGCTCATTGGATAATGGGGTGGAAAGAGTACTAAATATATACAGTAGTTTACAGGATTGTCAATACAGCAGGTAAGCAGTAAGTTGATGGAATGTGTACATTGAACAAAACTATTAAAAAATGGTGACCAACTTACTGCCAATAATTTTGTTGGTGTTGATGATGTGCGAGTGTCACCATAGTTTTTACAAGGTGTCAGTGGATGTCAGTGTTCACTTTAGGTTTATTACAACACTTTTGACTATTTTACTCCTAGCTGATAATATGATGATGGTTACAGCTTGAAAGTAAAAAAGGATGCACAAAGGCATGCAAAAAAAAAAAAAAAATTAAAAATCACCCTTTGTCTTTGGGGTGAGTCAAATTTATATGTCATGTAAAAAGAACAAAAAAACTTGTCATCACTTATCACCAACGTAAGTACAGCAGTGGCGCAGCTCAATGGGGTCAAATGAAAGCATGTGAAGCATTTGTTCCCTCCACAAAAACCAACATGCTAAATTCCATTTTCACATGTGAGCTAACCACACCCTGACTGTAATCAGCCCAGAGTTTATTTCATGATTCAATAAAACTTTGATCAAACTACCTTTTCAATAAACAATTCAATATACAAACTAATGAAACAAGAAATGTTTGATTGTCATCGGGACAAAACCTTTATATTTGAAAGGCAATCTGTGAGGTGCAGTGTGTGCGCATAATGTTTTATGTGTGTATGGTATCAGTATTCATTGTACCCCAATTCCCTTCCACTGACATGACATGATTGATCTGCTTATAGCATACACGTAGGCTATGGAAGGAGGCACTCAAAAAGCAATGTTTGAGGAATATACAGTGCAGTATCTAGAGTTAACGACAGGAAGACAAAATGGACAGGCAGATAAAGAAAAAGTTGTCATGGATGTCAATATGTGTATATTTAATCAAATTTGTTACTCATATTATATTTATTTACTAAAAATATTGTCATTCAAACAGTTTGCAATAGATAAGTGTTAGTTTAGATTCCAATCGCCATTTGTACAACTATCTTGTGCATTTATTTATTTATTCCTTGGTTCCAAAAATGTGCTCAAAAACAACACATATTTGTAAATAATTTAACTTCCACACTTGTAAATAATACTCTGCTGGAAAATCCCGGGTTTATATTCATGTATATTTGTCTAATTTGATGCCAAATTGCATTCTACGGTTGCTGTAATGAATTCTTCATTGTTGCATGGATATTATTTATATATATTTATTCATATAATATACAGTACATGGTCATTATTGCTATCATTCCTTCATTATTGTTTCAATACCAGTGCAGTATTCTATTTGTAATGGTTGTGATTTTTGTGCTTTGTACATTTTTTTTTCATGGTTTCTTTGTGTGTTTTACCAGACATCTTATGACATGTCCATTTATTTTTTCACATTTATAACTGCTAAAAATGTCATTTAATTTAAAAATCATAAGCTGCGTAACGTTTCTTTGCTTTAATTAATGTTCTCTTACAGGCTTATTTCTCTAAAATTTAAATTTGATTTACAAAATTATTTTTGAATTAAACCCCCAAAAATCATAGAAAACGTTTTTTATTAATTTAGTTTCAACTACATGTACCTTGAGTTCTCAAATATTTTTTATATTCTTTAATCTTTTTGTCAGAATGTGTATTATTAGTTTTTCATTTTCTTTCTCTTTTTCTTTCTCATTTTCTTTCTCATTTTTCTCTCATTTTCTGTCTCATTAATCGATTTGTTCTAATTGGTCACTATTTCATCATTTCAATTTTCGCCATTCTTTATTCTCTCTCATGTTTCATTCATTGTTGAAACTTTGTAAACATTTCATTCTTAATTCTCACTTTGTTCTTCCACACCCCAATCTACTATAATATTTAACCACGCTATACATCGAATGACTTTGCTGGCGGTGACTTCCACCATCATCAGTATTCCTATCCATGCACCAACTAATACACTTTATCAAATACTATACTACTTGTTATAAACTGTCAAGTCTTTTTTCTAACAGAAGTCTGCTGTTGTGCAGTTTGAATGGGTTAGTATAATTACATTCCACGAGTACTTTCATTTAACCCAATAATAATGAGACATTCTATCTACAAGTCATGGCTTATTCAATTTCCAGCGAAATGGAAAATTCAATTGACTTGTACAGAATTTGACAACGTTGGCCTCTAATTTTAAATGCATCAGATTCCTGTTTAGTGATTAGTTGATCCTGTAAAATATAAGGGATCAATTTTAAAGTAGAGGCTTTTCACAATAATTTGCCCCAGATTCAAACATCACTCGACGCTGCTCATTGAAGAAGTTATAAAATTGAGAGGGTTTTGTGGCGTTTCTTTCCCATTCTACTTTCAAATTCTTATGTGTTGGGATTATGTACTGGTGAATTAATGCCACAAGTGCCTCAATAGGATTGTTATTACTTTACCCTAGCACTTAACGTCTTTGATTGGATCTTTCAAGTGGTGTTATTTGATTCTTTTTCCTTCATCGATCACATAACCCCGACAAATTTCTGGTGCTTGTGATATCTCCGCTTTTGTCTTCTTGCTTTTCTTATCTTAATAATTCTTTTTACTTAAACTTAATAGTTTCAGTGCAGTAGTTGCATTACTTTACCCTTCATTCTTGCAGCAGGTGCAAGTGTATGTGGCAGTTAATGGTTTCTCTGCTTCTAACTTGACACATTGAACCTCACGCTTCATAGTTTAGTATATGTTGCATATAAGATCTCATCTTCAAACTAACAGTTGTGTAAGTGAAGTAAACTATCTTAATAACTACAGGATTGATGGCCGGAGTTTCCAAAAAACTGATAGAGCTGTAGCGCAACTTTTTTCTTTCTGCCGTCTTTCCTTACTTCTAGACTTTTTCCTGTCGCTAAAATATCTACTAATTATTCATATGACTGTCTAATTTTTGTGCATAAATTCTAATAGCAAAAAACTTTGTATTCCTTGTAAATCTTTATATCATACAGCATCGCCATCCACTTGTGCTAAACTGCTAATCTAGTAAATATTGAACACTGGAATTGTAGAAGATGCCAGACGGTGATAAACCTCTAGCTTGGGCGTAATGTTTTTGCCATTTCGGAACTCGTGTCATTAGCTCCTTTTTTTACAAGGAAATGATCCAAAATGGAAACGGCACTCTACAAAGCCCAATTAAGCTAAATAGGTCTGTTTTCCGCAGACGTATGAGCATCATTTTTTCTTTTCTTTTCATTTTTTTTTCCCCCTTTCATTTTTTTTAACGAATCTAAGAGGACTTAAATTTGCAATATATCTTTTAAGTCGTGATGTGTTTTATGGCTCATCAATAAAACCATTCACATAGAATGTGCTTAACAAAAACACAACTAATTGCAAGAAGCAGATTTTTCTACTGCAAAGCCTGTTGCCAAGAAAAGCACATCGTGACTGCTTTTCATTTTGGACGCGGTAGTCATTTTTCATGCCACGAATATCACACTTAAGAGATATACAGTCAATTCAAAAAATGTTGTCGTCGACCAACTCAAGCCATGCTATGCCACTGGACCGAAAGGAACTCTGGGTAGCAATCATTGAAGCCGAGTTGACTCCATAATTTTATCTGACTAGTTATGCCTGGTTTACAGCACAAACCTTCGTAGGCGAGCGGGAAGTGTTGAAGGAGACGTTTTTTTTTAATGCCTTCATATTTTCGAAATTGTGAACTGAATCATAAGTACTTTGTTTTTCTTTCCCTAAACCCAAAGACATGCATTTGATGGATTGTTTCTCGCCATTATTATCTTATTACTGGCGGGAACAATTAATTCAGAACGAATATTTAATCACTTCAGTGATTTTTACTCATATTCCTTTCGGTCCAGTCGCGTAGGATTGAGCCGGTCGCGTAGGATTGAGCCGGTCGACGACAACGTTTTTTGAATTGACTGCATAGACTAATATATAATTCTAGTTGAACAAGCTTAAATCGTATATAAACCAAGTAAAAGTATAAAATTAAGGTACATGTAGCTCATAGTAAAACAGAAATGTTACCTAAATATATTAGTAAGAGTATTTTTGAAAAATCATTTCTAGAGCCCTTGGTATACTAATTTACCAAATCGGTATTATGTTGTCAGAAGTCTGGTACTTCGTGTGTCTAATGAGTGATGTTTTTCGTCGAAGTAATATAAATAATTTATGTAACTTGTACGTCTGTCGTTTGAGACAAAAACTGTGTAAGGCTTGTGTTCAAGAAGTTGCCTATTTACCCAATTCTAACAAACCACATCATTTCCATAATCCACATTGTATTGCTAACGTCTTTTCTCATTTTCTATTTCCGTCCTATACACATTGGACTTCATTATCCAGTTCCCATTTCAYTATCCATATTGCACACATATCATCATCCAACTTGTATTTCACTATTTCTTTATCATCCGAATTTCATTTCCCTACTCGGTATCCATTCATTCATCTATTTTCCATGCCAGTTGTTGGTTGTCCCATGCATTCTGTTCTTACTCTGAATGCTTTATTCAAACAGTTCACACTCCTCGCATTTCACTATCCACTTCCCATCCATCATTCATTATCCATATTTCATTTCATTATTCATTTCCCTTCCCACCATCTAGTTCCCATTCATTCATCTATTTTCCATGCCAATTGTTGGTCATCCCATGCACTTTGTTCTTACTCTGAATGCTTTATTCAAACAGACATCAATCATCCCCGCAAAAGGTCTTGCAGAGTGCTTTCTGCTTGCCTGGATTAAAAGTCAAATAACTTGAGGTAATACGAACTAAAAATGAGTAAAAGCAAAACTAAAATATTAATACTACTGTCTTACTTAAAAATAAGAAAAGTAAACTTTAAACTCAGACAGTCTGAAAAAACATTCTTATCACGGGCGTAATGATTTTTTCCGTTTTAAAAGTCCTCAAAAAAAAAAAAAAAAATTACGCCCACGCTACTAAACCATTTGGTCGGCACTGAAGGATATTTAAGAAGCAAAGCAAGTGCATGCTTTAACCTAAACCTGTTAACCTATTGAATATTTTATGAAGTGGATTTTCTTGATGTTATCATGCGTTTCTTTAAAGTCGTAAGATAACTCCTTGCGATCACTAAAACTCAAGGGTGTACTTGTGTATATTTAACTTATTATTAAGATGTAAGCTTTGAGTGTTTTGAGCTACTATGTAGTCGTCAAGATTTGTAATCAAGTGTATGAAAGATAACCAAAATCTGCAACGAAACAGATGGCAAAGTCTAAGGCTGATAGTAATCTTATATTTACAGCTTAAGAGTTCCTGAACCTACATGATGTAAGGAGATTTGTAGAGATACTTAGTGTCATTCTTGTTCATTTACTTATTTTTTCGCACTTGTGCTTGAGAAGCACTTGAATAATCCTATTCAGTGTTATCAAATCTAGAATCTTGGGTCATGTTGAGTCATAGATTGACGAAGCTAGGGTCCGGGGAGGAGATTGGAAAAAGAAACAGACACTGAAGTTGAAGGTGTAAACTTCTCGGACCATGTCTACGCCACCAAAGTATCAAGTGTTACTTTATCCGATATCTAAAAAATAAAATTTAAAAAATGTTGAATTTTCAAGGCTTGTCTTCGTGATGTCACGGGACCCTTAGAAGTTAGAGCCACAGATGCTGTCATATTGTCGTCTGTTTCGTCGTAGATCAGTCCTGGCTATTTCAATCTGGATGGCTAGATGGCGCAACTCGTTCTTAAACTAAACTCAGTAAACATCGAATCGAATTATGGTGACCACTTTGAATAACTGTTGTTCTGCACTGACTAGTGTTCACGTGGAAACATCAAAGCGTTTTCACATGTATTGGAGGCTAGTCAGTCACTAGTCAGAGCCATAGTGATTCGTATTGGTCGCCATATTTTGATTAGGTGTACCTTAAAATAAAACGTAAGATACTTAAAATATTTTCCTAAAAGAGTTATAACGTAAGAATTAAACCCGAATGACATGCCTATTAATGCTTAAATAATTTTCTCTACAATAAGAACATCACATTCACTTGCACCTCTTGCACACGTAAGATGTCTTGGTAAAGCACATTTCATAGTTAGAAAGTGAATGGGTGGATATTCAATACGAAGTCGGGTAGACTTATAATCCACTTTTTTTCCGTCTCAGATCAAGTGTTATCCCCTTGAGTGTTTATTGGTTTGTCTCAAACGATTTTCCCCTCAAGGAAATGGCACGTGGCTGGATGGGAAACTATATTAGCATTTACCTTAACGAGCAGGGGACTGGAACAAAGTTTCTTAAATTTAATTATTATTCAAAATCAAACCCCAACACAAGAAAGATAACATAGAAATAAATTTAAAAATCTGCTGTAGTTCGGGCAAGATGCATCGAAGCGACACGAACGGTGAGGTTGCAACGATAGAGAACTTTTTTAACACCCTCATCAGTTATACAGTGACACATGTCTATCATTGCAAACTCACTGTTCGCGGTGTCGCTTCGATGCAAAGGCACGGCTACCTTTCAAGATGGCGCAGGGAACTGTGAAAGGGACTATAGTTTTTTCAAACTTGAACCCAGTCCCTTGCTCGTTTTGGCATAGGCTAATTGATCGATCGAGTTGGCTGGGGCCATTCCATTGCAATCTTAATAAATATTCATTTTCCGCACGTTTCGTATACAATAATGGCAGTTAATTTCTTGAATAAATCAACTAAAATGAATATAAATGTTCAAAAGCTTATTTTATTAAAGGATTCTGAACCATATCTAGACAAAATTTGCCCGGACAACAAATTAAATTTGCTAAAATATATATCCAATTTCAAAAGCTTTTTTTAATAAATATAGTATACGATTCTGGACTGTATCAAGGCGAAATTTGCCGGAATGCCACTCAAAATTCATTTAAAGTTTTTAACAAAGAAAAACGTTCCAAAGGAACATGAGATCCAACAAACGCGTTAACCTGAGGCTGAGGAATCGAACCCGAGGCTCTAGGAGTGAGAGCCGAGTGCGCTACCACTACGCCATATATTCATTCAGGCAAAACATGACTCAAATTTCTCATTATCGGACACGGACTTTGATTATAATAGACCAGTTTCTAGCTCCAAATTACCGCTGTGTTCCTTGATTGCAGACTTATTTAATGAGGGCAAGCCTCGAATCAGTGTCTAAATATTCACAAATACCAACAGTAACGTACAAAATGCACAACTTCAAAAATACACATACACTTTGGAATTCCACGGACTTTCACTGGAACACATGAATATTCTGCACATAATAGGGGCTATTGTTGAGCAACAGAGAACTCGAAACTGGAAGTATTGGCCTTTCCAAAGTTGAGGAAATACTGGGTCGAGTTGGCGTTGCAGTACATCGTGGGGCTGTTTCAGGCGAAGAAATAGATGCCATCTTGAAATATGTCCCCTAAGAATGCTCTACAATGCACTGCAATGGCAACTCGGCTCATGTTTTTCCTTTACCTCGGAATGGCTATGGAATAATTGCCATAAGGCTTCACTTTTTTAATTGACCATATGATTAGAGACAAAGCTTCAATCCGATTTAATGTTTCTAGTTTTTAATACTGCTAGTAAAGTTTATGCACGGCACAATAACACTGCATGTATGTTAAACTGTGTTTATTTTACAAAAAAGCCCAGATATCACTTGCACATGTTACTCCATTAGCATATCCTATATTTTTGCACGTGTTTACTATTTTTTAGACTAATGTGGCACATTTAGTCACTATCAGTCAGTTGAACTGGGGCGAAGGTCTACTTCCCCAATCGGATTATTGTCTGCTGTCGGATTCCATATTCTTTCCTGCGATTAACTATTAAAGTACCGTACATTACTACTTCTCAAGTTGAGCGCCTTCTCTTCCTTAAGAGGTTCATTGTCAATTGTCTAATCCCAGTAATTTGATAAGAAGAAAATAGACAAGTGATACTTAAAAGTATGATTGAAGTAGCTATTATTTCTGGGACGGTTATGATTATATTTTTTATCATTCCTCAGATCTGTGGATGGAATCGTTAAAGAGAAGAAGGAAAAGAAAAAGAAAGGCTTCTTTTAATTGATATTGCTAGATTTTAAAATATAAATGCGACTTTTTCTCGGTCTGGAAAGACGACTCAAAATGTCAGAAATGCTCTGATAGGCTAACGAGCTTCTGTCCAATTATGTGCAGTCATATAGCGTTGAAGCGCTCCGACAATTATGAGAAAGCGAAGAAGATTGAGCGAGCGGTGACTCATCCTGACACTCGGCAAATAGGACGTTTGCACGATGGCGTCATTGACCTCTACTACCAGACTCCCTTGCACACTTTCTTTTGTTCATTTAATTAGTACCAATTGTCTTACTATTCTCATGAGGGAATACAAATTTAAATGAGAAAGAAAATTCGCTAAGTATCTTGGTAGTGGTAGTCAAATGACGCCATCATGCAAACGTCCTATTGGGCCTAAGAACATTTTAATTATTTGTTTTATCTAGAAATATTTGAATTAAGTTGAAAATAACGCATGCATTTAAGTTCAGATTCATTTATCTAGTAACCAAGTATATGTTATATTATCATGTATCCCAAACACTTATTCAAATCATTGATGGGTTTGAAGCAGCGGAGTCTTTGAACCTCACTTATCTGTTCCAAATGGTGGTCAAACACTGACCACCATGTGCTGCCAGCCAGAAAAGTTCCATTGAAAACTTGTGATTCAGTTGATGAACATTCCGATAGACAGGAAATGACGTCAAGTGAAACACAGTAATTAGCTTACCCGTAGTTTACTGTTCGCTTTAGAACAAAAGAAACGACGAACAAAAGAAAGTCGAAAGCAAACGGCAAAACCAGAATTTTCTAAACCTAGTTCTGGATTGCTTACCAGAACTTAAAAATGCATTTCCCTAGTCCTATTTACCAGAATTTACCAAAATAATTACCAGTTCTAGGTCGATGCTTCTTGTACTCTTCCTTTCAATTTTTGAACAAATGGCGGCCATGTTGGTTTTCGAGCTTGTGACGTCATAAGACCGCCATGTTGGATACATGGAACAAAGCAATTATCGTTTATTTCTTTCGCTTTCGCATCCAAAATGGCGGCCTGTGTCTTTAGATTTTCTCTTCATGAAATATTTATATCCTTGAGAAAACGTTTCTAAACAAAATTACCGATACATTCTGTGATTTTATTATCACTGTCAAACAACATGGCTGCCGGCCTTGTGATAACTTAATTTCGTACTCTAACCTCGATATTACAAATTCTTTAAGTGTTAACATTTAATAAAGTTAAAAAAGGACAAGAAAGTTTGCTAATTTGTTAACCAAAGCCATAATTTATCTAGGAAAATAATATTAAGATGTAAGAATTTCATTTCTGATCGTTTAAATTATACAATTTTAAAATATTATACCAAGTGTTTTAATTCATTGATGTATCGAACCTATCTGATGCTGTATATAAGACAGATTATTAAAACAAATTTAAAACTAATTTGACTAATGTTACACCGCTGCATTACTCTGGGTACATTTAAGGTGACCCATTCTACGCTAAAGGCGTACAGAAAAATGATGTCGAGGACCAGGCGGGACTGAAACAATCCATGTATAGACCCAAGAGCTGGAACCGAGAAGAGAGAGAGAGAGAGAGAGGGAAAAAATTGATTCAAGGAAAGTTGCGTATGCATATTGTGTTTTAGCATATACCACTTTGTGTACTTCTTAAGAATGCGCGCCCTCATTGGTTAATTGGAAGTGAATATTGTACGATATTCACCTCTGAATCTCGGAATGTTGAGTCGGCAACAAAATGGCATTTGCCGGCAATCGTTTTGCTACAATTTCCGATGAGGAAATTGAAAAAATGAAAGTAAATGCCATTCCTATCAATATTAAAAAGGCAACGAAGTATGACCTAAAAGTTTTGCTTAAAGTTTTGCTAAACGTTTTGCGTGAATTTCTCACGCAAACCGTCTGTTTTTATTGAATAATTGTATATAAAAATAAGTTACTCTGTACACAAGTTGGTATATGCTAAAACAATTATTCGCCTTAGGCTCAGTGATTATGGAGAATATATTCCCCGATATTAACTTCGCCTTCGGCGAATAATTGCTAAATATTTTCAGGAACCAGATATTTTAATGGCGGATGTCAAAGGTACTTCTCTTTCTCCTATTGGAAAAAGGCTTCGACCAGGAAGAAACACTTTCTATATATTCAAAAATGACTAAAAAAAACGAAACGGTAATAGCACAAAAAGACGCAAACGTATGCAACTAGTTAATACACTATTTTCATTAAATTAAATTATTTTTTCTTCTTTACTTTTCCTGTACTGAGTTTGTGTCATTGTAGAAATTGGCAAAAATTGTATTAACGGTCAAAAGTGCCGCCTAGTTTAACACTTTAACTCACTCGATAATTAAGAAAAGAAACGTAGTTAATCCCAGGAGATCTTGGTTCTATCAGACAGAATTTAATTAACCAATCAGCAAACGTTTTGTTCGTAGTTAAAGATTTCCCAATTCCAAGTTTTTGGCTCGAAAAAAAAAGCGTATTTAACTTAAAAATATAGAAAATAAAACGCATCCGTGAAAAGATTTACCAAATAACTTTTAGAAGTAGCATATTTTGTCTTCGTTGATGGAAAAAAAAACCTTTTATCAAGAGATGTAATAAAAAACACTTGGACACTTTCGCCGGGGAGGGACTCTCTTGAAAAGTAGGTAGGGGGGCTCGACGGACCTTTTAAGGTCGAAAATGAGACCTCGCGTACCTTTTAGGGTCTTTGGCTGACCTCGGCTGACTCCGTACCTTTTAGGGTCAGATTTGTTCGTTTTGAAAAATATCAAACGTCATACAAAAATATAATGGTTGGAAACGTCATTTTAAATGTGGCCGTATTTTTTAGGGTCTGAAATCAGCATCTCAGTTAATTTATGCGTACCTTTTAGGGTCATTTTCAAAACCGTCCATCGAGCCCCCCTACCCACTTTTCAAGAGAGTCACCCCACCCCGGGCACTTTCGCTGCGACAAACAATGCATTGCGCGCCTAGATTTCAAATCACCTGGTCTTGGGAATTGTGGCAAGCGTTTTAAACTAAATGTATGGGGGCGTCCACTGTGTTTATAAATGTACTATGGATCTCGGTTTCATGAAATTTAAGAAATTTCACTTGTGAAAGTTTAATTTGATTGCTTCCGTCTTTGAACAGTTAACACCTATTTCAATAATATGTGGTCATCGCCATAGGCGATAGATCATTTCGACATGGAAATAGTCTAGTCGAATAAAAGGAACATCGAATCAGTCTCAAGTCATTCCAGCTATTCTTGGATCCTGGAAATGATCTATATCCTATCGCTTTTCGCCTATTTCTATCGCCTATTACTAACCGCCTTTGGCGATGACAACGTATAAATAGCGTAATAGTAAAATAGTGTATATCTAATACCTCCATTATTTCCATTACCTATTTGGACGCTTCTCAATGACAAGCCACGGGGAATCGACGTCAGGACAAAGTAGGTTTTTGGGAAACGCGCCAGTTAAACTATATCCAAGACATGTTTTTTGGGGACAAACTATTAAGCACATCTGTTTATGAAAATCTTAGAAACCGACGACTTGATTAAATGCTAACCAAAATTTAGTATTCCGCGCGCGTTATTAAGAACGAGACATTAGTTAAAAGAAAATGCTGTTTTGTCTTTAGTTTAGTCATATGCCTTATTCCTTTATAGGAAACTGTCTTGTTCCATTAGGGTTACTGGAGACCTTCAGGGGAATGTTTCGTTGAAGACTCTCTCTTCGCCAAAACCCCATCAAACTATAAATCGTTTTAAAGTGTATATGACTCGAAAAAATTTTAATGTTAAGAATGTGTAGTTTATTGGCATTAATAAGAATATCACGGTTAAATTTGTTCCAAAAATGTATTTCTCTAGAAATTGAAAAAATTTTAGCACGAGTTGTGACGTCATTTTGTTTACAAGTCTCCAGATTTAGTTGCAAATACATGAAATATGTTTGAATATAGAATCTTAATTTCAAGTAGTACACTTTTCAGTTTCCCAACATTGGAAGAGTACTACGTAAGCTATCAAATGAAGCTGACTAAAATATGTCTTTTGTTGTTAATTTATGTGAATTACAATTTATATTTAGTACATTACTACTGAATCTAGAGTACGTGTCAACAAAATGACGTCACA